CACTTTTTCTTATATCTTTTATATAAAAATCTATAATAAGAGTACTATATATTTTTTCTGTATCTCTTATATATTAAACCTAGTGCTATAGATAGAGTTATTTAATCTAAAAGATCTAGATCCTTAAGGCTATATTTCTCGATCTTTTATAGATCTAGCTTATAATATATATATTATCTATATACTTTCTATATATAAGTTCTATATTAAGTGAGAGTCTATTAACTAAGACTAAATAGTCTCTTTTATAGATCTATAATTTCTATATACTTAGTAAAGCTTATACTCTATTTTTAGTGGCCTTATCTAGAATAACTATATCTATATTATCACTATATAGTATATAGATTATAATCACAACACTAATAGTCTTCTTAACTTTATTTAGCACTTCTTTATTTGGCTTATCTTTCGCTATTAGTATCAAGATATATATAATATATCTATTTAGTTTTATATTAAGACTACTACTTAATATCTATATTTTAGCCATAATCTAGATATCTCTCGCTATAATTATTATCTATATTATCTTTTCTGGCCTAGGGCTAGCTATAAGCTTTACTAGAGATTTCTTAATGACCTTAAGACATCTCTTAACCTTATTCCTAAGTATTTATCGCGAGTTAATAGCCTGCGAAACTCTCTTGACTATCTAGTGAAGAATATTAAGTCACTTAGACTGTACTCTCTCCTCTTTAAGACCTTCTATAATCGCCTTTAGGTCTTCTTTAATTGTATTATTGCTCTTTTTCAGTGATATTACTGTGTCACCCTGTCGGGCGAGTATCACGCGTTTTATAGCGTGTTTTAACGCGTTAAGGCCCTTCTCAAACGCGTTTTTCCCTCTAGCATCATTATGAGCGCTTTGGATACCTTTTACAGGCTCTTCGTCTGCGTTATTGATATTAGATAAAGTTGCTTAAGTTATGACTATCGCTAAACTATCACTGTCTATTCAGTTAGCTTTACTTGCCTTTTTTTTTTTTTTTTTTTTTTTTCAGGTCTATATTATATCTAGAAGATAGAGACTATAAAAGAGAAGAAGATTATATAAAAGGAAATCAATAAATTGAATAAAATAAGAGAGCCTAAAATAAAGTTAGTCTAGAAGTTAGAATCTAGTCTTGCGTGACTAGGTCTGCGAAATTGATTAAGGAAGAAGCCTTAATAGTGTTTTATAAAGAAATAAGGTAAACTTATAAGAGAGGTATTAAAAGAAGGCATTGATTAGTATCGCTATTATAAGGTAAGTGAGATATAAATAGAATAACTATTACTTATATCTATCTAGGAGATTATTTAATCTAAAATAATTCTATTTATAAAGTAATTAGGCCTTGAGGCTATAGTTTAAGAGAATAATATAATATTTTATACTTAATACTTTATCTCTACTGTCTATTTACTCGCTAGTGTTAAGCGATTTTTTTGGTCTGGTAATTCTCTCGATCTTAACGCTATTAAGAAGGCCTAACTATAGATAAAGAAGAGAATAAGCTTTTATAGATTAGCGCGAGACAAAAAAGAACTCAGTAAGAGATAGAATGAGGCTTAGAAAGTATTGCTATAATTATAGATTTAAAAATGGATTGAAGATATTCCTTATAATATTAAGAAGGTGATAGAACTTAAGAGAGACAATGAATATCTAGAGAGATATAAAATTAAGAGATTCTATAAAGTGTTAGGAATGCCTCGAGGAACAGGCAGAATGATAACACAATAGAGGGTTAAGATATTTCTATCTAGAGGTGCGCTCTAGTATAAGACTCTAAGCATAAAGAAGAGAAGTTCCTTGTGCGGGTAGCTTGCGTGAAAAGTGCGAAGCTCAAGAGTCCGCTAGACTATATTTGTGTGCGCTGTCTTGGCGCGCGCTTAGGGGTGCGCGCCATGCTCCCTGCGCGCCCGTTAGAACGCTTATTCTAAGTTGCGCTCATGACATAAAGGTTGTCGCAAGATTGAAGAGATTTATAAGTATTGCTAGATTAATGAGAAGAAAAAAGAGGAGGACTATAAAGATATAGTTGATTAAGAAGAGAAGGATCTCTATAATACGAACAACTATACTGAGAATAAATAAACTTCTATGATTTCTATGGGAGAGCTATATAAAAGATGAACAAAAAATTATTGAGTTAATTAAAAGAATATTATTAGAGCATTATGTGAAGCCTATAGGTATAGAGGTAAGTAAAATCATCAACACCATGATTGTCTATACAAGAACTCAGCCTTGTAAGGCTCTAGATATTAACGCTGAGGTGGATGCTATCAATATGTGAGTGATACGCTATTGATGCATTGAAGGACCTTGTTGTGTTGCTCCTCATATAATTTTGGTGAGGCAGTTAACAATCTCTAGGCACTTGGCATCATTCTAGTATGCCAAGAACCCTAGGAACACGCTAGTAACTAGTGTCTGATTCCATATTTTGTGCACGCCTCCGTAATGGTGAGACAAAACACCCTTTTGCTTTTGTTAAGATTAGTGACGTAGAGTTTCAATGTTAGGCATCGCTTTACGCGTCTCTCGAGGCGCTCAAAAAGACATTACTAGGCGCAAATCGGGTTTTAGCGCAGAGAATACTCCTTTGGAGCACGCCTCCGTACTCCTGCGGTCTGGAGGCAGACATGGGAGCCGGTTGGCACCGCTTTGCGGCTGGACTCCGCTTTCTGCAAGCCATTTCGCTTCTGACAACAAAACCTTTCTGGATTGATATAAGTCCAAACTAGTAACCACTGTCGTGGTCGCTCCGTCTCCCGATGCCAACCCTCGGGTCTTCCTGGCCATCTCACTTCGGCTCTCAAGGTGGCAGGGATGGCCAAAGAAGTCATAATACATCTGGTCACAGACTGAAACTACAGAAACTTTAAGTATTATTGTGTGTACCTACAGTGAACATGGGCATTGAAGGCGACTTGTATGATCTTGTCGCTACGCTAACCTCTTTATCACGTCTTTCACTCCCTTCCGTTACGGTATTCATCAGACTCTGCACGTCCCATCCCAGATGTTGTCCTGGGGATTTGAAGTGGTACCTCTCCGGCAAGTGCTGGTGATTCGCCGATACGGAAAGCTGATACGGAAAGCTTCAAGTCGCCTTTCGCTAAGGGGCGAAGATGTGGCCCCCAAAGTCATGTCTCTCCGGTTGCTAAAGACCCTCCCTGCTCGCGAGTCCTTGTCACACTGTTCGCCCTGGCTAGTCCTTCGGGTGGGAAGGCGGTATTATTCCACTCCGGCGTTCTGGAAGGCTTTGCAGGGACCAGGACACGATTTTCAGCCCATCAGAGAGCGCGCTCCCTCAAGTGTGGAGGTCAACACGAGAGGTTCCAATCTTTCCCGTCACCGCTCTTGCTGATGTCTCTCTGCCCACTAGTCGAGCACTTGCAGCCTGGGGAAGTTTCACCTATGGGACTTGGGGGGCGTTCAGGGCGATAATATGGGCAAGCCTCCTGGAGCATAGCTTCGTATCACTCAGAGTCACCACGCCCCACGCCATCACCAAAGATACAAATTGCTACCGATCAACCCTTTGTCTTCCTCATGATCCTCAACATCCTGTCGTGAGTCACCTTCAACCTCCTTCTGCTCCTACTCTGCTGTCTGTAAAGCACAAACAGAGCTTCCTATATACCTATCCGGACGTACGCCTTTACAACAAGAAACGCCGATACTACAGCGGTATCTTGTATAGCCATGTGGGGCATTGCCGCACATAGGCCTGCAGCCTTGTCTCTAACCCTGCCCGGGAGTCGAATCAGACTCGGCGACTCACTTCCTCTGTCACTGGCAGTGTCCTTGAAGAAGACACCTTCAAAGCGGCGCAAGAAGACTGTCTTCATATGGTCCTGTGTAAGTCTCCCTTGCCCTCTTCATAGGATCGCAGCTGATTACAAGTGAAGTGTCAAGACGGAAAAGGCGCCATTTCTCTCAAGTCAGAGAAGTGCCCGAGCTGCACACATCCGAGATGCAATAGATGTAGAATCCAGAAAATCACTCAATGAAACTGGGCAAGAACGGCCGCTGTGAAGGAACCATCAAACATGGCACTTTCAACAACCCATGGGATTGCGTTGGCACCACTCTGTCTGCGAAATAATGCGGAGCAGAGGATCAAGGATCAAGGATCAAGGGCTTTTGGGACAGCTGTGTCTGTTGGCACCCATCATCAACAAGCAAACTGGCTGTTCTGTACGCCAACTGGACGCCAGCGTCACCTTTGGAAGAGGTGTCACGTGATTGTAGGGATTAGCTGCCGATGACCGGATGAAAAAGAAAGGTATAGGTGTGGGCGTTTGACACGGGATCTTGATGAGCGTCACGGAGGCTTCGGAGTGCACAGTATCAGGGAGAAGCATTTTGTACGAGTGTCCTGGTCGGATCGATACTATGGGGTGGCAGAGACGAAGAGATTTTTCTGCAGCATTAATATCATTGTCCCGTGCAGTCATGGTTTTCATCGGGGCGGCGATTGGGTGACGGTTCACTAGATCCCCCGCCTGCGCCGCCTACGCCCAGTGAAAATCCTGCCGCCCAATCCTCGTCCTCGGCCTCTTTTCCACTCCACATATTGCGTCTTCTGGTTGAGAGAAGAAAGAATTTTGTGCAAAACAACTGCAACTAAGTTAGTCCTCTGACGCCTTCTCGAGATCCATGCCTCTTGACACTGCTGCCCTCTAGAAACCGGGTATCGCGTTCATGTGCTTCCCAAGCATCTTCACCTCTCAAGTAAGTCCTTGGATTGCCCCTCGACGAGCCCACTGATAAGCTCCTCCTCAACCCTGCCGTGACAACAGCAAACACGTCAACCACAGTATCTCGGGTTGAAAGCTCTGCTAACCTCTGTGCTCACAGGATTACATCAGTGGTATTTACTGCCGTCCGACCTTCGACGTTGCTCTCTCTCTAACTCCTGTGATAGATCATTTGTGGAAGGCTCAAGCCAACTAGCGGTCAAGAAAACAAGAAGAAAAAACAGTCATAAATCGTTGCAATCATGTTTTCTCGACTGCTGAAACCGTCGGGCCTCGTGCCCAAGACGGGCAACATTATCTCAAGCTCCTCGGCTCTGCGAGCTCGATCTCTCGCAACCGTGTCGAACAATACGCCCAGACAACAAGATCTGCCTCTGCACAAGCAGTACAAGCACACCGCTCCTGCCCACGAACGGGCCACGTTCACCATACGAAACGGTCCCATCTTCCACGGCACATCGTTCGGTGCTCGAAGCAATGTTTCAGGAGAAGCTGTATTCACCACCTCGCTCGTGGGATATCCTGAGTCATTGACCGACCCTTCCTACCGAGGGCAGATTTTGGTGTTTACACAGCCTCTGATCGGCAACTATGGAGTGCCATCAAACGTTCGAGACGAGCATGGCCTCTTGAAATACTTTGAGAGCCCCAACATTCAGGCCGTCGGTGTTGTTGTTGCAGACGTGGCAGAGAAATACTCCCACTGGACGGCCGTGGAAAGCTTGAGTGAATGGTGTGCCAGGGAAGGTGTTCCGGCTATCACCGGAGTGGACACCCGCGCTATCGTGACGTACCTGCGAGAGCAAGGTTCCAGTCTGGCCAGAATTACCATCGGCGAGGAATACGACCAAGATGAGGACGAGGCTTTCGTTGACCCGGAACAGATCAACCTTGTCCGAAAAGTCAGCACCAAGGCACCATTCCACGTCAGTGCTGCAAACCCTACCGCCCACATCGCCGTGCTTGACTGCGGTGTGAAGGAAAACATCCTTCGTAGCCTGGTCAGCCGAGGAGCAAGTGTCACTTGCTTCCCATTCGACTATCCCATTCACAAGGTTGCTCACCACTTTGATGGTATCTTCATCTCCAATGGTCCAGGTGATCCGACCCATTGTCAGGACACTGTCTACCATCTTCGAAAGTTGATGGAGACTTCGCAACTGCCCATCTTCGGTATCTGCTTGGGTCATCAACTTCTGGCTTTGGCTGCTGGTGCCAGGACCATTAAGCTCAAGTACGGTAACCGGGCACACAACATCCCTGCTCTGGATCTCACAACAGGCAAATGCCACATCACCAGCCAGAACCACGGCTATGCTGTCGATGCGTCGACACTGCCCAAGGACTGGAAGCCATATTTCACAAACTTGAACGACAACTCGAATGAAGGTGAGTTGTGCATTTCATCTGAACACATACGTATCTTGTGCTAATCCTCTGTAGGCTTGATTCACGAGTCTCGACCTATCTTCTCGACCCAGTTCCACCCTGAAGCCAAGGGCGGTCCCCTTGATTCGTCGTATCTCTTCGACATGTACTTGGACAATGTGCAGAAGTACAAGCAGGGTCAAGCGGCCTTCCAGCCCACTCGTGACAGCAAGCCCAGCCCACTTTTGGTTGATTTGCTCGCCAAGGAACGAGTCGGCGTTGATCTCACTCAGGGTATCCGAAACATGATGGCATCGACTAGCCAAGAACCCGAACGAGTTTATGCCGCAGGTGCTGCATGATGATGCGTGATTATGGAATATGTGGCCAAACGAACGGTTGATACTGGTTTTGAGTGTTGTGGAAGCGGAACTTGATTTTCCTCTTGAATATCAATCTTTACGTGGTCGATTTATAGTTTTGTCTTGAGCTTGAATGAATTATTGAGGAATGAAGCCGGTGTTTCTCTTGCGTGAATTTATGTGAGTCAGTGCAATCGGTCTTCGAAGTGCATCAGAGAGATAGTCCTTACTCTGAGGGTCTTAGCTAATGTGTATCAATCAAGTCGGATGTGCCTTTTTTGGTGAGTAAAGGAGTTCCCATAAGGCCCGACGGCTTAAGGTCAGGTTGCTTAGTAAAAATACGAAAGTACCATGGGTTGACCCAAGGATGGAGGGTGATATCCTATGGGAACTTTCAGGCATCCCTCTTGAATTACTAAGAAGAGTTCTTGAGCCCTGGTAGGCGTGCGAAGCGACGAAGGAGACACCACTAGTTAACTTACAAGACCCTGGTTCAACTGGTGGGTGGCCTTGTCAAGAGACCCCAGGTCACAGAGTAAGTCTACTTCCATATAAAAGGTATAAAAAGGTTGGCTATCCATGTCTTCACGCAATGTATTCATGACCACCTACCCACCTACCTACCTACTCACTTTGGATAGGTAGATAATCTATACTATTCTATCATCAGGCCCCTGTTGTGAGAAGGTCTAAATACACATATACCAGGGACAACACGGATGACAACGAACACACACACACACGTATACACGCACACACAGACACACACAGACGGTCGTCATCAGAAAGTCTGTGCCCGTCCATTACACCATTTCTCCGCCCTCCACCAGACGTCTACCGTGTTGAGTCAGGGGTCGGTTCTGTTCTGTTACATCTTGGGGAGAAAAGAGTGTGAGCGAGCGAGTAAAGAAAGTACTTTCAAGAGTGAGTGAGCGAGCCAGGTCAACGATTACCGACCACCTCCTGTACCTAGCCAGTCACTTACCTGACGTACCTCGTAGGTGACTCACTTTAGGAGGTGGATGACCACAGTATCCTTCTGGCATCTTAACCCCCATGATGGCCGGACCGGACGCTTTCAAACAACGATACTTTACCGAGATCGGACCCAAGTACGCACACCTGACGGGAAACACGACACGAGACCTCCTCAAGAAGCTCTTGAACATTCGACAGGACCTTTCTGGGTCCATCACTTCCAACTCGGTGATCCACGACAACGCATGCGGTCCCGGCACGGCGACTGAGGCGTTGATATCTTGGTGTTACGAGAAAGGCGGTGGCGGTGGCGGCGACGGCGATGGTAATGGCAGCGACACCACCACCGACAAGAATGTCACGCCCGTGCCTAAGAGCATCGTGGCGACAGACTACGTTCCCGCCATGATCGAAGCCGGTGAACGTATTAAGACGGAACACATTGACGCCGCGATCGACGACGACGACGTCACCGCCGCACGGCTCTGGCAAAACGTCCGGTTCAAAGTCACCGACTCATCGGATCTGAGCGAGTTCCCAGACGGGACGTTCACGCACGGTTTCTGCAACTTCAGCGTCTTCAACCTGACGCACCCGGAGCGGTGTCTGGGGGAGATGTACCGCACACTCCGGGGAGGGTCTGGCTCCGAATCCGGGGCGACGGCGGTCGTGACGTGTTGGAAGCGGTTCGCGGCGTCGGATCTGCTTTCGGCCGCGCAGAGAATCGTCATGGGCGACGAGTGGGAAAGGGACCATCGCCTCCCCGTCGCGGGGCCCGAGTACCTGGAAGACGGGTACCTGGCAGACCTGGTCAGGAGGTCGGCGGGCGGCTCCGACGCGTGGGAGACGGTCGAGACGATCGAGTTGAAACATCTCGTGAAGGATGAGGAAGACGGCGAGGGGCGGGATTGGGATGGCTTGTACGAGTTTCTAACGACGACTTCGTTGAGTGGTGCCGCGACGAAAGGCTGGACCGACGACCAAGTCTCGCAGTGGCCCCAGGCGGTCAAGGCGGCCATGAAGAACGAGAAAGAACGGTTTGGAGGCCTGTTGTTCGAGGCGTGGGCCGTCGTGGCGACGAAGAAGACGACGAAGAATAAGTAGCGGCAGTGGTTGTAGTCATAGGCATGCTTGTTGGCGTCCATGGAATCGACTTCGGCTGAATGCGAGAATGCAATTGATTACATATACCAGGTACATACCTACTAGACAATACCTACGTACTTTAGAATCCAGGGTAGGTAACATCCTTACCTCCCATGTGTGTATCTACTGTATAGTCCTCCCGCAAATCAACGCTGGTCGACGGAATATGCACAGTATGATCGCTACAACTCCAGATGACAACCATGCTCAGATCAAAACCACCCCTTGACGTTCCCCAAAGAGACACCTACCTACCTGGCCGATTGGCTGACCACCCAGGGACCGGCACCGAGGGAAACAAAACCTACTTATCATGTCCAACCGCTGCTCTCTTGTGGTTGTGGCAGCGACCCCGTAGAATACCTCTTCAGCGAGTCGCTGTCATATTGTGGCTGAATCATCGAGTAATCCAGCCCCTGTGCTCTCCTCCTCTTGATCTTGGGAAACCTGTAAAATCCGAACCCAGTTGTATTTTGACCGGTTCCGTAGCCTTTCGTAATCTGCGACGAATCCAACATGTTCTTGATCCACGCAACGTACTCCGGCTTGTCCTCTAATACCCTACTGGCCAATCCTACGGGGAGAAGCCAGAAGAGTGCAGAGTCTCTACTGTTCTTGACGTTGAGAAGCTGGAACTCGAATGCCCGACAGATCTCGACCGCCGGCTCCGTCAACGAGTCGACATTGCCCGGCAGATTCAGAGGTGTTTGGGATGGCTCGATTGGAGGAGACAGGGCTTCGTCGTCGTCGTCGCCGTCGTCAGTGGAGGGGCTCAGACTCCACAGCAAGCCCAACAAGCACAGCAACACTGCGTTGTACAAAGCAATGTCGATGGCTCGAGAGAATGTCGAGAAGATGAGGGTTTTGCGAATTGGTCGCGGGTTTTTGAGGAATTGATGCGACGGGATGACCTCAGGGTCGACTTCCCAGCAGGCGTGGGGGTTGATCTCTTCCCAGTGCCAGCGCCAGTTGTACAGTTTTGCCAATTGATACTCGATTCGCTGTATCAGATCCAGGCGGAAGTCATCCGCAGGCCACTGCTCAAGGCGGGCTTGGTCCTCGAGAAAGCCAGGGACGAAGGCAAGAATGTCGACGAGTTTGTTTTGATTGCTCTTGTTCTCTTGGCCGCATGTTGACCAGGGTTGGTCGATCCAGTCGGATTGTTCGAGAAAACTGCGGCTTTTTGTGATGAGGCCGATGGTAATCTGAATACGAATGGATTAGCGAAAGGGTCGCTTGGGAGACCAGAAAGTCGTGACCTACTAGAGTTGCTCGACAGGATTCAAATGCAGACCTCAATGGATCAAGGGCAAAGCGTGCTGGTCCGCATAGCTGAACAAGCTTCAGTAGACCTTGGATGTGAAAGGCGCAAGCCTGAGGGTCAGGAGTGGTCGACTGAGGGCTGGTGTGTCAGTACTGGACGAGCGAAGACGATGGTGAGACGAACCGAATGCATAAGAAGAATGGTGATAGGAATGATCAGCCCCTCGCTACCAGGTGATCCCACGCGGAAGAGGCGGGATGATAAGGCTCGCACAGTCTTGTCGTAATGCATAGCTCCGCTTACTTCAATGTCCGGTTGATGATGGTGTTTGCCAAAGATGCTGAGAGAAAACGCCCGGCAAGCCTCAAGTGATAGCGAGTCCAGGCGACCAGCGGCGGCCATCTGAAGCCATGGAGACCCATAGCTGCTCCATACGAAGTTGTCGAAGAGGTAAGAGAACTGGATGTTGTCTCGGAAAGCCACTAAACTCAGTTCTTGAGGCAGTGGTGCCAGTTCTTGGTTTGAGGAGAGGACCAGATTCTTCGGGACTGTTGTAAGTGGTGGATTCCTTGTCGTCTTGGACGACAATGGAGCGGCGGATTCCTCAAAGGTGTGGAATCGCATCTCCAGTTTACGGTCGTATCCCGCACAGATGTATCCGGCCTTCGAACAACGCTTGCATGTTGGTCTGGACTCGTCTGGGAGAAAAGGCGGTGGCGTCAGCGAATGGCGCTCGAGGGCTCGGGACCTGCAGGAAAACTCACCACACTTGATTCTCCTCTTCAAACACGTATGGCACCCCTTGCTTCGACCAGGCACTCCGACCATGCTGGATGCGAGATTAGTTGATCGTATCGTGGTTGGCTTTATCGCTGCATGTCGTTCATTGCTTCCTCAAACGGGCTTTGCAAGATATATACTTTGTTATTAATGTGGACTGGGTCTCTGAAATCAAGTCCACGCCTCTCCACTGAGGTCGGCTCTTTGTCATGATCAAGCGCTGTCGCGAGCTGTAGGGGAGCCGCCGCATTAGACCCTGATAGGTGTCTGCAGAGACGACTTTGCATACATAGGCTTAATATCACCGCCCCCAAGCTCGATTTGAAATGTTAGGCGGAGAGTACAGTTCCTGACTCATGGCCCATGGGACGCACTATGGCGCCGGGGAAAGTCTCTTTGTAATTCCAATCATGCCTGCCCTATCGACTTCTAGCAGCTCTCGCGAAGAAGCGGGCCTTAACGGCATGGCAGCTGCAGACGGTGCTCAAAAGAGGTGCGGTGTGGCTGATGACTGGGATTGCTCTTGATCGCTTACCTCATGTTGCAGACGGAGTAGCCGTATCAATCCCCGAGGTAGGAAGCCGAGATAGGGACGAGAGTAGCCGCCGATGGCGAGGCTAGTTTGTAGTAGTGAGGCTGAGACCAACCATTGCTGAACGCCCCATGACATAAGTTTCAAAGTTATAACCGCTCAATGAGCATTCAACGTACTTCAGGCACCAGGGCATAAGCGGAGGCTGTTGCAGTCAGCTAGCCATCTACGGCTCGAGGCCAGGTGTCTCTAGGCTTCCCCGGTCTCTGTACCTGAACCTTGTGCTCTCGCTTCTGGCAGTGCGAGGGTGGATGGTTGGTTGAACTGTACGAGCACATGGTGGTCAGAACCGAGATAGGCATTTGATCAAGGATAGCAGCGATCTTCGTATTTCCAGATTGCCAACCTCTAAGTTAGAATTGCGGACATTTTACCCACCGAAACAACAGCTGGCTCAGAGGATAGGGGAAAACAGTCTTCCTCAGCCACATCTCCCGACCCTTTTCCCTTTGTGATGTCGCCAAGTGTGATGTCGCCTAAAGCACGCCCGTTAACTGCCGATTAATGCCTAATTTTCAAATACTGGCCGATGAAGGAAATTATAGCCGACTTTGGCCGCAATGTCCCTCCCGGATCATATCGCTTCGGGGAGTACAATGGGCTATGATTCTCGCATGTCGAGATCTGCTCTGTGTGTAGACTCAGGAAGTCTGAATATGTTATTCGAGAGCACTGACGTGTGGCGCGAGGAACTCCTCCGATAGCCTGCTGAATCACCCTCCGACCATGCACTGCTTGTTTCGATGGCATATGTAGCTGGGACCGTCCCTGAAGGAACACCGCTAGAGATCAGAGATAGGTGTAGCCGACCAGGTGGTATGCTTAGAGGCTGCAACTACCTGCAAACCCCGCAGATCCAAAATTGCCTTTTCCATTTTGGCCAAGGAGGATGCCACCTTCTAGTTGGCTTTGCTTATTAAAATAGACAGTGCCTCGGATGCTGAGTGCACCGCAAAGGTAGTACATGAAGCTACTCCGTACGTACTCAGCGTCGAATACCAGGCCACATGCAATATTTTCCGGCTGTTGTGGGAATCGAGTATTCGGCGACTGCTCCGATGGCGCTGTCGTCGCTCTCTTTTCCTAATGACAGTTGGATGAGACTCGTCCCAATGGATGCTTTGGCTTGTACGAGGCTACCACAGCGCTCAAACATCGCTCAGGGAACAGAGTCCAGTGAAAGCATGAGCAAAATGCACACAGGTACGTCCTTTTCTTGTCTTGAGATGAGGCTGAGGATGTGCTGGCACCGGTGCAGGGCAGACGTCGGATAATGTCTCTTCATCCGGCTTAGTCATGGCTTGGCGTCCTGAGGCTGAGTTCTTGCTCTTTCAAATACCTGTATGGAGTATTTGTTTGGAGTCTTTTCCTTCTTTCTTCGTTCATCAGCCACAAGTCGACGACGCCCGCACGAGTCGCTTTGCACGATGTCCGCCTCTCTTTTGCATCGCCCAACTCCTGATCCCCCTAGTCTTCTTTGCGCCCTAGAGTCGTCTCCAGAAGTTTTCCAGTTGGCCAAGGCGTTGGAACGCCGTAATGTTCGTTTGCTAGCGGGCGAGCTGGGAGTTGTGCCTTGTCGTCATGGGGCGCACTATGAAACACCCAGTGGCAGTCGTGTGCTTTGTACGAGATCATGCTGCACCGTTGCTGACACTTCTAGTTAACACCCCAGCCACAACTTGGAACACAGTCTTGCTGATCATGGCGTTTACAACTGGATATTGTCATCCACCTTCTGCATACACCAGCCACAGCATGCTGGCCCGGTTTCATGGGAGGCGCCTGTCTAAATCCTTCCACAATTCCAGCCTTCGGCGAAGACTTGGGGCCAAGGCTGACCAGCACAAATCTACCAAATCTTCTACAGAGGATGCCAGAATCAATTACCATTTTAGGGCATTTGAGAAGAGCGACCAAGTCCTACAGTTTGTGTCATATCCCCCCTCTGTTAGTGGAGTCTAGAACAGCAAAAGCATTACATTGATCGAAATTCCAAATGATGTTGATCTCAACTTTCAGAAAGCCTCGAAGCAATTTTCAAGAAGCTCTCCTGTACGCCCTTCTCTTCCTTATTTCGTGTCCTCCTCAGCTGGTATCTTAACACACACACACACACACACACACACACACACACACACACACTCTCTCTCTCTCTCTCTCTCTCTCTCTCTCTCTCTCTCTCTCTCTCTCACTGTTTCGGTGCTATGGTGGTATATCGACTGCAATCTGTTCCAAGAGCATGCATTTGCGAAACGGCAGACGCCCCTTCTTTGCAGCTGGCATGTTACCCACCTCCTGCTAGGTGCGGAAAATTCATGATTCCTTTCACCTTCACGGTGGAGAGTAGCGTCTTCGACTTCCCAAAAGTGGAATGACAACTATGCGCTTGAAGACTTTCGCGATACCGGGCAGTCTTATCGCTGGCACAGAACGCTACCACCAGATTACAGCGTCTTTCTGCAAACCGAAGCACAAAAATGGAAAGGAGAAGACCCTCATTCTAGCTACCCATGGTATTGGGCAGGCAAGGTAACGGATCTGCCTTGGTGAGTAGACTGCTCTCTGCAGCTCCTTTCATGATGTGGAATCTGAATTGAAGGAGAGTTCCCCCTGATGCAAGTCTATCTCAAGGCCATCACAGGGATTCAAGACTCCGTCGTCTGCCACGGCTCCTGTCTATGCATCGGCCCAGGAGCCCGCGCGTACCTTCTACCGCACTCCAGAGACATTCGTGACATGCCTGCATCCGAACAATTGCTATAATTCCTGTTCCACTGCAACTCGACCCGGGCGTATGGCGTTATCACGGATCCCTTGAACAACCATGTTACATAGGAGTTGCTCTGCGGATGCAGGCGAGGATACTGCTATGTGGGCTGGAGTGCATGTGCAGGGGGTTGGCCGTGTTTCTGGGTTCAGGCTACTCGGGGTCGGGAATAGATTTAGTCAAATGTCACAAGCGATTGGGTAGGTATTTTAGGCATTCGAAATTACGACCGAATTGGAGGAATGATGTCCAATACTACTGATCATTGTACATCGTCAACTCACTTTGCCCAGGCATGTACATGTGTGTCTCACCAGGTTCACGTCAGCTGCGGAAGGATCCGACTTCGTCAAGAGCCATCCATGGCTCGATGCAAGGCCGCGGGCTAGAGTTCATCAACATCCAAACCAACCCTCCACCAAAATTTAGTTGCAGGCATTATCGCGAGGCGTTCTACGTAAAATCGCCAAAAGAGGAACTCGCGAAATATTTACGCCCCAATTAGAGCTAGGGCGAGGTCGACTCGCTCCTTTCTGATCAGCGGATCCGCGTTTGCAATCCAGAAACTTGTTACGCTCGTATGCTGAAGGAGATCGACAACTCCTTATCAGAGTGCTGACAACGGATCCTGACGGGAGCTGTTTCCCCAGGCACGCCATTGAGCTGCTCAGGCACATATCGATCGACGTGGAGGAAGAGTGGTTGCATATATCTTGCAGGGTTGCTTTGAGAGCCGCCAATGTCCGGACAGGTGACAGACTCGCGTAGCGAAATGATCAACGAACCGTCAGCAGAACAATGCATACATACGCGAAGCAAGGGTGAAGACGCCTAATGATTAGATAGTCGAGAAGGATCTCCTCAATAGTGCTCCTCAGCCTGTAGCGATCAACTCGTGATCAACCAGGGTACCATGCACCGGGACTGTCGTTCACGTGGAGTATACCTGTACTGTGCGACTCTTGATTGCATCCTCATGGAAGATCACTACGACGAAGGGCAGAGGATATACACTCCCGCGGCAAACGGATCACTAAGTTAGTCCCTGGGGATGTACTGGTACTCCTTTGACTGAGAATTGTAGAGATATGAAGTCCCAAGAATAACTCTGGTTTACTGGTACATACGACATCCGCCGAAGTTATGCGCTGCCCGCGTCGAATTACTTTTGGGGTTCGCTGGCACCACTCCCAAGAACAAAGAGCATGCAATAGTAAGCGGTTACTCTCAGTACTATCTGGACCATGCACTGTTGCAGGATAAAGAACAGCATGGATGAACCCAGTTTGGGGGTTGGGGATGAGAGAGAGAGAGAGAGGTTCGGATGGGGGACCGAAGTCTCAGAGACACCTGTACCAAGATCGAAAGGGGTGATCGCAGCGCAGATCATACTAGCCCCTGGCCCATCTCATGCAGCTAAGGAAGATGTCAGATGATAGTTTGATCGCAAGAAGGCAGAAACGGGAGTGGGCTAGCAACACGAACGCGGAAGACAGATGGTCAAGAATTCAGACAGACGCCACCATGTCTGCGCCCGTCTTCTGGCCCAGAGAGGGCAGTGAGAGGAGAAAGGCTGTAGCGATGGCAGACTGGCTTCTATCATCCGGCTGCCACAGACACCTCCAGACACCGGGGTGCGCGGACCGTTATCAGGCATTGAACCTGCGGCCCGTAGTATGGAGAATCCAGTTTACAGTATTTGCACGGTGTCCCGTCTGCAAAAGTCGGGATGCGCAGAGGACCCTCGAATCCGATTGAGGGGCGCTTCGAGCTCCTTAGGCTCGCGTATCGTGCCCCGTCGAGCCTAAAGTTTTGGGTGGGACGACGCCTACAATGCCCCGTACTTGGGATCACCAACAGGCCTTAAAGTACCTAGGTACCTACTGGTACTAGTTAACTCCCTACAACCTACAGGGAGTCAGCTAACCCAGCAGCTTCCCCAATAGGGGCCAAAAATGCCCAATTGGCAATTGGCCGGCGCCCCCAGTTAATGAGAAACAAGCGTCCACGGCACAAACGAAAGTGATCACCTGAAGACGCAGTCGTCATTTTGCCGTCACCTTCACCATGACCGCCTCCTCTCACCCTTCAACCCAGGAAAAGGAGTGCCGCCTATACCATCAATCACCTAACCCGCAGTGCTTTCATTATCGATGCCGAACTAGTGTCCTCGCGCATTTGTGTCTCAGGGATTTCACGCACAAAGACATCGAGAGTGTCCGGACCCTAGACCCTCAATCACTGCCTTGCTTGGGAGCTCATCAAGGATCTTTGGACAGTACTCTTGGGCCATGGCGAGAGGACAAGTTTTAGCCGACATGTTAAAATCAAGCCACTGCTGCTCGCTACCCACAAGCTAGAAGCTACTTTCAAACCATCCCCTCCACATCTCAGCAGGGATGGCCGCCACCGATTTGAAGGCCGGCGACCAGATCCATCAAGGGTAAAATGACATGCAGTATCATCCCCCGATGGGCACTAACGAGGGTTAAAGGATCCTGGATTTGACATCACATCAGCGTCTGCACGGGTTTGGGGTGGAACCGACTCTCCCTCCGCAACCCCTTTCAGCTTCACAAGACTTTTTCTCCAGTACGCCACACAGACACTACTGTATGTCCAAGGAAGTACGTCTCGACGCCGTTTTGTCGCGTTAATGGGGTGCGGCCTCGCCCTTGCGTCTGTCCGTGCCGACTACCCTGATTGCGGCTGAAGGTGATTCGTATCTACTGGGACTGGCCCGATGGCAGCGACTCATAGTTTGGTCACGCTCCGCAACGTATCCACTGAGGCTTCGGTAGAATCAGTGAAGTTCGGATACTCTTTCGCGACCCCGGACCTCATCAGCTACAATACCAGCTTCACCATGTTCCCTAGCGCCACGGATTTCGTTGTGCGGTCGCCAACATGCTACTGTTGGGCTTACAAGGAGCGACAGCTGGCATGGCGGAGGTAGACCCTCTTCATCAGTGTGCCATCTCTAGCAGGAACCTTATTGCTACAGCGGAAACGCGCAGTGACCTCATGCCCTTCCTTTGGTGTTTGCGGGACCTCACCTGTCAAGAAATGCGCCAGCACACTTTGGATCCGTTCTGCCTCCGAATAACGCCCTGGCTTGGGCCAGCTTTTCATGGCACACCAGAATCTGACAGGAAGCTGTCAACCGCGAGTTTGTGCAGGCCATGTCCCTGTGCCATCTTCTCCGCTGTTCCTTGACTATGTACTGTACTACCAGCCTTCTGCGGCACGGAAGCTCTATCAGTGGACACCGTCATCTCTCCCCCTTCTCGCGACAGTTCTGATTCCGCTCTTCCCATGCAGCCCAGTATCTCAGGTTGCTGGCATGTGCTGCCAACCGGCATAAAACAGGAATGCTCCCCGTCAACGGTTCGTGGGCCAATGCGTTCAATCTCAATTGATTCATATGTGGGCATATCCCAGCATTCCCCTTCGGATATTTTGCGACGATCCTCTTCACTTGTATCACCGAGGATCGACGCAGGATTCCTGAATTTATAGAGCGACAGCTGCACCTGGTTCGTGCCAGTTCGCAAGACATCCCTGCCTGTCAGGCTCGATGACCCGAATTAACGCAATGGTCAGTCATTCAACAACAACAACAGCCCGCAATGATCCGCTCCGCGCTTTCGCGGACAAGAGTCTCCCAGACCTTCCAGTCTCTTTCGTACCAAGTTCGCAATCTCTTACCGACGAAGATGAGGCTTGCCCAAGCCCAACAGTACGGGTATTCCGGGGCCCGCGCAAAAGCCCTCGGTATCCTCGCAAGTTACCACAGTTTCAACAATCCAGAAAATGGGCCAAGGTGCACGATTCTCGAATACCGAAGCCTGTTCCGATCATCACGGTGACTCAATTGCCTACAGAGACTCCAGGAGGATCAGACGGCATAGACGACTCAGCAAATCGAGCTCTTACCATGCGCGAGGTCTCCTTTGAACAACAGCGCGCAACCAAGAAACCACTTGCCCGAGGAAGAAGCTCCCATAGATCCTCTCCATCTAGGGTCACGAGTGATGATAGCATCGACAGCCAAGATGGAAGCGTGTGTCATCCGACTTCTCAGCAGTGCTTGCCTACAGGCAAAGCAGGCATGGCAGCTGTTGCCAGTACAGCTTCAAAGAAGTGGCGCAGATCACGCTCTCGTGGACGTAAGGTAGCGCCAACGAAACAACGGGAGGTCAAATTTCAGAGCGCGGCAGACAGAGCCGTAGGTTCAGCTTCAGCACGAGTCGCGATGCCGGCTAGGTCGAGAGGTCGAGAGGTCACCTCAAAGCATCTGCCACTGTTGCCCACCGAACACCAGGATAAGGCGGCTTCACAAAAGGCACCGACAGCAAATCAGCCACGAGTCCCATCCCCGATCCCGTCTCTTCACGATCCTGAAAAGGACCTCAAATTCTCATCTGAGTGTCAAGAGCTCTTGCGCAGGATGGACTTTGGCCATGACTTCTTGTTGCCCATGTTTACGGCAGTCGAGTCTAAAGCATCAGCATCGCAAGATCTGCTTGCAGCTGCAAATCACCGACCCGATTCGCAACAAACCATCTCAATAAAGGACGCACTAACCAACTTACCACCGACAGATAAGTTGGTGGAGCGCCAACGTCGACCCCAAGCGACTTCTAGCGTCTCCAGCAAGGCAGTATCGAACCTCGCAAATATGTTCCAGCTGGCACGAGCGAAGTCCAATCCGAACCCATCAGCAGTCAAGGGTCAATCCTCCTCAAGTCCAAACCAGCCTACAAGGACTATGTCGACCACTCGCCGGCCAATCATGGATCGGTCGTTCCTTCGAATGCCTTCAGCTTCCTCTGCCGCTGCCCGTACATTAAGGAGCCCGCATTCAACTATGAGTGTTGATACTCTGGCAAAGATTGAAGCTCAGGTTCACAACGGAGAGACTGCCAATATCAAGACAACATCGGAGAAAGTTTCGTCCTTCAGCTCCGAATCAGGCCGACGTGGGCCTCCCAGTATACCTCCAGAACGACCTTTACCAGCGTTGCCTCCAGATGCCTTCCCAGATCAAAGTTCACGGCACAGTGCTGACAGTGGCCGAAATGGTCTGGATGCTCAGAAAAGGCAAGCATCGGCAGCGCCTATGATCCTGTCCAGATCGTCTATTCGTGTAGTGTGCCAGGCCCCACCAGTTGACCTGGTAGTTGATCCATCCAAAGTTAGACCCATGAGCCCAGGTCTCGAGCAAAGCACAGCTCAAGACAAGAGACGCGGCACTGGTGCAGCGGCAATTCGTTTGGCAGATCAATCTTCATTAAGCTCTCTTGCTTCGGAGTTATCGGGACACTCTCGACGATCGTCACAGTCTTACCGACGAAGCATCTGCAGTGCCCGAGCCGACAAAGTGAAAGAAAAGCGCTTGAGAGATATTGCAACGTCCAAACCCTCCTTATCTTCACCCAATCGGCCAACCAGTAGCAACTCCACTGGACACCAAGATGTGAACACCACCACCACCCCTCCTCCAACGTCCTGGGATCGCCCCATAACCTTCAAAGGACAAGTCCAGGTGGACCAACTTGATCAATTCCCCGCAGTACCTTCATCACGGCGAGGTAGTAGCGTTGCCAGTGTGCAAAGTCCTACTCGAGTTCGCGGACCCAGTTTCAACAGTTTGACAAGCCCATTTCGACAGTCTTTGCAGAAAAATACTTCAACTCGTCAAGGACAAGTCCTGGGACAAAGCAATATCTTTGTCGTTGTGGATTCTGATCCAGTTACTGCACGCTTCCGCGCCGGGGCCATGAGCCCGAGCCCCAGTATCGGTAGCAGTAATGCTAGCGGACGTCCTATCAGCCCGGTAAGGAACAAGCAATATAAGGCTGGTCCTTCGAGTTTGAGAGAGGTAACGACCCATCGAGGGCCTAATGGTCCAAAGCCAAACACCGCTAGCGTCAGGGTCGCGAGAGTCGAATCACCTACCCATCTTGCCCCTCCTCACCGGAAGAGCAAACGTCATTCAAGGCAGAACAGCGTTCAAACGAGCAGCTCCAGTGACGAGTCCACGACGCCGAGCATCAACCGCAATGTCCGGGCCAAGTCACCCCAAAACAGACCATCACGGCGTCCAACGAAACGAAGAAGATGGAACAGTTTCGACATTAGCTTGGTCAAGACCCTCCACGAGAACCTCGAGGACTATTACGGTACCATCTTGAAGCAAGAGGAGAGAATCAGATGGCAAGCGGACCAGCTGCGAATGATGGTGAGAGTCATCGCCCCCATGAACCGTGCACGTGGCGTCAAGGGCTCGTACCTCGAGGACATTCCCGACAAGTTCGAGCACGAAGACGATGCCTTGGTCGTCAGCCAGCAATACGCGCAAACCATGGCAACGGGCCACATTCCTCGACCTCCACGCCGTTCTCACGTGAGACAGTCAAGCTCGGGCGGCGGTTGGCCGCTGAGTAAAGTCAACACCAAAGAACGCGTCACGAAGCCGGGACAGGGTCAACACAGGCGGTACAACAGCACGCTTTCCGAGACCGGAGAGGAGTCTGACATGTTGTTGTTGTTGCAAACGACAACAGGCAAGTCGACGTCGGCGAGCAAGGCTCAAAACGTCGCGGTAGAAGATCCTTCCTTGACAGCACTGCCACCGGTGGACCGCGAGGCGATGAAGACGACTCCTGCTGCTGCTGCTGCCGCCGCTTCGGAGTACGGCAACGACAAGGAAAACAAGGTTCCGGGAACTACCACTAGGAGACACGACAAGGACAGAGTGTCGGCCCGGACTTCCGCCGCTCCAAATTCGGCGTTGGCATCGTTACGCCAGCCTCCTCCCGTGCCGCCGAGCCCTCCCCTCCCTCGACAGCTGTCGGCCGACGAAGGGGCCGACATCTTCAGCTCGCCGACGACGAGTGGTGGTGGTGGTGGTGGTCAGTTCGACGACGCGCTTTCCTCTCCGGGGTTCTTCGAACAGGATGGACAGAACGACGCGAACGTTTTCAAAACCGGACACGGAGGCCGCAACAGTGCGGCGAGATTGAGCGTGGACCACTTTCTCGCCAGCACGGAGCAGATGGACAAGGCGCTGGGTCTGTCGGCGGCGGCGGCGTACATTTGATCGAGTTGGCCCCGGGGAGGGGAGGGGGGAGAGGGGGGAGAGG